TGCATTACTCGAAATATGCATTACTCCAAATTCATCCAAATTCATCCAAATTCATCCAAATTCATCCAAATTCATCCAAATTTAAACTCTTTTCCTTCCTTGCCGCTTGATGCGATCTGGAGGTATGATCTTCACCTCCTTGATCTGATCTGGTACATTCCAAGAAGCCATGTCGGGCACAACATTAAGTGTTCTGGAATACGCCAAATGCCACATTTCTGTCCAATAGTATTTTGAGCACAACTCATGGATATCAAGGCGCCTGCCATCAACATTCCTAGCGAAATAGATATATGCTGCCAGTCCATGCAGACAAGGGAACTTTTCATAGTCCCACACCTTGCAAGTACAAGTTTTTCCAACCAAGGTCGCCCAAAACACCTTTCCTGCAGTGTCAGTGATCTCGTACTTAAGCTCGTAACTATCAAGTTCCCGCACAGGTAGCTTATGTGCAACAGCCCATAGATCGTGCAAGTAGGTCTCAACCCGAGGCACCAGTCTTGGATTCATTGATCTAGAAACAACATCCTTTCGTTGAGTGAACCAATCAGAGAATTTCCTAATGATACAATCTAGCATTGGTATTAAGGCCCACGTCGTTGCCTCTTTAAACACGTTCTTCATTAATACCAGAGTGTTGCTTGTATCCAAGTTGTACCTATCACGTGGGAAAAAAACCCTTCCCATTTGTCCTTTTCAATACCACATTCCTCAACATACTTGTACGCAGCAGGACATCTTATCTTAAATGAGTCGTAAGCAGAATTGAAGTCATCAACCGTGTAATATCTTCCCAACTCCATAAGTTTTTGCCCGACTATATTCTTGTTGACATTACAAGCATGCAATTTCACCTTTTCCTTCAAATGCCATAAACAATGACCATGGTGAGCCTGTGGAAACATGTTTCCTATGGCGAAGATCAAGCTCTGATTTCTTGTACTAATGAAAACCAATTCAGAAGAGTCTGGTATAACACTTTTAAGCATCTCGAAAAATTAAGTCCAACTACCAACATTCTCACCATCTACTACTGCAAACGCAAGTGGATAACTCTGACCATTAGGATCCACGGCTTTCGCGAAAACTAAAACACCACCGTTCTTCAGACGTATCCCCTCCACAGCTATCACCTTCCTCATAACTGCAAACCCTTCAATGCAAGCTCCCAAAGCTATGAAAAGGTACTCAAATTTACTTCTATCATCCAATTTCAAAGAGGTTTTTGTCCCCGGATTCACTTGCTCTAACATGTACAAATAGCTATACAACATCTTGTAGCTCTCTTTCGGACTACCAGGTATATCTCTGAAGTGATTGCTCATTGTGTCCTGCCAAAAGGAACAAACAAAAGAAACTCACTACAATTTCCCCTACTATTATCCTGCTACAGTTTTACCAGTTATTCTACCAGTTTTCTTGTTTTCCTAATTATACCAGTTGTACCCATTTATTCATTTTTACTACAATTTATCAAGAACAATTGAATAATCTAGGGTTTATCCCTATCCCTCAACTCCAATTCACCTACATAAATTCATTATATACAAATTTACCCCGAAACTAAACAAAACTTGTCACAATTACAAATCAATTAAAACCCCCAAAACCTACTTCCGAAATAATGCTCGGACATAGCATAACTTACCGGCTGCAACTTTATCGGCCCGACGAGTGGAGGTCTTCGACTCTCTCTCTCCTCACCTCCTCCTCGACGATGCCCCCCCGGGGAGCTGGGGGGGATCATCGGGGGAGCTCGGGAGGGGATGAGGATAATTCACTTTTTTTTTTAGACCAAACCAACAAACATAAGAACCACTTTTAATGTTTTTACAGACCAATCCAATTGGGATCGACCAAACCCGATTTATGTTGGAAGGAGATTTTGGTTTTGGTCGATTTTGGTGAATCTGGTTTGTTACATTCTTGGTGAATATGTCCTTTTGGTCTTTTCACATATTGATGGGTATAAGGGATTTTATGGTGCATAGGAGATTGATTGAGGAGGAGATTGGGCATTGGAGGTGATGTCCCTTGACTCACAGACATGTAAAGCTAAATGTCTCGACTGTTTAACAGTTAGTTACTAATCAACCATCAGCATTACACGTGACATGGAAGAATAAATGGTGATAGATCAAAACACTATAGTAACTTGCGCCTTTAAGCTGGGAAGATATGTCATCTGTTCTGCAACACTTGCGTCGGGAGAATATCTAATGCATTCTTCAACATGTTCATCGAGTTTGGGTACACAATAGGGTCAATATTTTATGTTTTTTAGTTTTGTGTTAATTAGTGCCAAAGAACATGACATTAGAGAATTACTGATACTACTAGTTGCATACTCCCCGCGCAAGCGCGGGGCCGGAATCATTATGTTTGCGTTTATTTTTTTCGATTTAGTGGTTTAGTGGATTCTTCTAATGACATCAAATAATAATGAAATGGAAAGAATATAGTAAGAGTGTAAAGTGAAAATATTGTATATCTAATGTGTTAAATGTTATTTATATGCGAAGTAAGGTTTATAGGATCAGTTAGGTTATAATATAGTTTTTAGTGTGTAAAAGTAGGTGTCTATTTTTTTTTTTGCTGTAAATAGTTTTTATATCGTATGTCAAAACTTGATATAATTCTATATTTATAGTATTTATATTTGTATTAAACGATTTATCAATTTAAAAATAACCTTAATTAATTTAATATTCGTTGTTTAAGTTTCATTAGATCGGTTTTTATATATGGTTTTTTTGTAAGTTTGGGTTTTGTTCATAAAAGATGTGGCATTTTTATCTACGGCGTCATCTACTGTGGAAATCCATTCGCCGAAGTCTGGAGTCGGTGGTGAGAAATGTTTTCAATGAAATTATAGTAGTTATTAAAATGTAAGAGAAATTACATATTCATTTAATAAATAACGAAAAATACTTAAATTTTGTTGTTTATTTTATTTTATTTCACATACAAAGTTTTTGAAAATATATTAGGAATGAGTTAAATGTTATTTATATGCGNTTACATATTCATTTAATAAATAACGAAAAATACTTAAATTTTGTTGTTTATTTTATTTTATTTCACATACAAAGTTTTTGAAAATATATTAGGAATGAGTTAAATGTTATTTATATGCGAAGTAAGGTTTATAGGAATAGTTAGGCTATAATATAGTTTTTAGTGTGTAAAAGTAGGTGTTTTATTTTGCTGTAAATAGTTTTTATATCGAAGATCAAAGCTTGATATAATTCTATATTTATAGTATTTATAGTTGTATTAAACGATTTATCAATTTGAAAATAACCTTAATTAAGTTAACATTCGTTATTTAAGTTTCATTAGATAGGTTTTTATATATGTTTATTTGTAAGTTTGAGTTTTGTTCATAAATGATGTGGCATTTTTATTTATGGCGTCATCGACTGTGGCCGTGGGAATCCATTCGCCGGAGTCTGAAATCGGTGGTGAGGAATGTTTTCAATGAAATTATAGTAGTTATTAAAATGTAAGAGAAATTACATATTCATTAAATAAATAACAAAAATATTTAATTTTTGTTGTTTTTTTATTTGATCTCACATACAATTTTTTTGAAAATATATATTAGGAAATATGTGCAATGATTTCACTTTTTAAGCTCTTAATCTATATTATTCAGGACTCATTAAGCCATCCACGTAGGTAGCCGCGTGGGATTCACTTTTTTTTTGGGTCAGTTCGTTTTTGGATTCATTTTTTATTATTTTTGGGTTGAACTATATTATAATAGGATAGTTTTAAGGCTCTTTAAGCCATCCGCGTAGGCAACCGCGTGAGACTTGCTTTTTTATTGTTTTTTTATTGTTCGTTTTTGCATCCATTTTTAACTATTTTTGGTTTGAACTCGTTAAGCTTTAGGGTTTATTCAACTATTTTGATCTTTAAAACAATAAGCCATAAAAAAAACATAAAAACCTTACAAACAAAAAGCCCATATGATAATAACCCAAATAATAAAAAAAAATGATGGATGCGTGGTTTGAACCCACGATCTTGCATGTTTAATTAAACACCTTATACCACTTGGCTAAAGTGTATTTCATTGTTTGTAATCATCTTACCAAGACTATAACCTTTTTAAAAATACCTAGGAGACCCACAAAACTGCTGACGTGGCGCGTTGTGGAGCCTAGAAAGTGTACTATTATAATATAGATTTTGGACAACTAATTAGGGCCAATGAACTAAATGCGCTTTTTTAATAGGTCTTTTAGGCCAACTCTTCTACAAAAACCAAATGAAACTAAAATCAGCTCACCCCATCTCAATCTTAGGCCTGGGCATTCGGATATTCGGTTCGGTTCCGGATAGGAACCATTCGGTTCCGGGTATATCGGATAAATCATTCTTATACCCAATAGGTACTTAGGAGATTTCGGTTCAGTTCCAGTTCGATTTCGGTTCAGTTCCGGATACCCATTTAATATATAAATCAAATATATATATACAAAATATATTAGTTAATATGTTAATTTAAATGGTCTAGTGTTTAAATGCTTACATATTCGTCAATTCAACAAGAGTTTGAATTAATAAGGTGTTAATTTTATAAATATTTATCATATTTTAATATAGAAATACCATATATATTTATAATATAACAGAATAAATAAAACATAATGTCGTCTGACGGTAAAATGTACTTACTCTTTGTATCTAACCTGGGTTTAAGTATGTTTGATGTCATTTTATCTTATTTTAAAAAAAAATTAACTTGTTTTTTCGGATATTCGGGTACCCGTTCGATTCTCGGTTTGGTTTGGTTTCGGTTCCGGTTCGGTTTTTCGGGTATAGAAATATAGGAACCATTCGGATATTTAAGAATTTCGATCCGGTTTCGGTTTCAAGTATTTCAGTTCGGTTCCGGTTCCGGTTAGGTTTTTCGGTTCTGATTTTTTTGCCCAGGCCTACTCAATCTTATGCGTTAATGATTAACTCAATTATTTTCTTAATTAAAAATTCTCATTTAGATGATTGTGTGCGTATACATCAACAAAAGCACTAAAAATTCGAATTTCAGCCTATCAAGTATTTAACAGAAAGAGCAAAGCCCAACACTTAAGAATGTATATGCCCATTATTTAGAAAGAGAAGAATTCAAAATGCAAATGAAGCAAAAATGAACAATTCAGATCAAATCATCCAAAACTCTGTGAAGAAAAGTCAAATGTCCTCACACTGACATCATATATCAACCATTCCAAAACCATATCCTACTATCAGTTCCCTCTTCTTCCATTACAAAAGCATAATAATAATCCTCTCTTTCTCCTAATACCCAAAAAACAAGAAAATCAACAACAACCAGAGCTGTGTTTGTTCTTGATCTTAACACCAAGCTCACCTGCAATAATAACAGTAGAAGCCATATCAAGAAACATCCCATGCTCCACAACTCCAGGCAGCCTCAAAATCTCATCACTCACTACCCTCAAATCTCCCATATCCTTCTCCAAATACATATCCACTATATAATTCCCATTATCCGTCACAAAAGCCTCCCCATTCTCCCCTAACCTTAGCTTCGCCACGCACCCGTACCCCTCCATCACCTCCCGAAGCTTCTCCGCCGTGAACTTCCAGCAAAACGGAACAATCTCCACCGGAAGAGCCAGCTTACTCCCACCTATATGCTTCACCATCTTCGACTCGTCAACAATCACCACAAACTTCTTGGACGCTCCTTCAATCATCTTCTCTCGTAGTAAAGACCCTCCACGTCCTTTCACGAGGTTGAGACAAGGGTCGACCTCGTCGGCGCCGTCTATCGAGAGGTCGATGACGGGATGCGCGTCGAGGTCGGAGAGAGGGATACCTACGGAGAGAGCCTGTTCTTGAGTCTTTGTGGACGTTGGGATTCCGACGATGTTGGAGAGCTTTCCTTGCCGGAGAAGCTCGCCGATGCGGGCGACGGCGTGTTTGGCGGTGGAGCCGGTTCCGAGGCCGAGGACCATGCCGGATTTGACGAAGTCTACGGCTTTGTAAGCGGCGATGCGTTTGAGCTCGTCTTGGGTTAAGATCATTGAAGGAGGGGTAGAGGGGACATCGATGGAGGTTTTGTCGGATGTAATGAAGAGAGGATCATACGCAAGCGCCATTGGAAGATTCCTTTTGTCTGAACGAGAGATGGCTACGAAGAACGGAGAAGGAGAATTGGATGGAATAGTTTGGGAGAGAATGAGAGGTAATGAATAGAGAGAAAGGTCGAATGAAATGTTTGTATATAAAGAGAGATTACGAAATTACGACGAAGAAGAGAAGAGAGGAGGGAGAATAATGTTTGTGTGGTGGCGGAGAAAAGAAAGTGGAGACTGGGGAGAGATAGGGTTTGTGGGAGGACAAACGAATAAAGACACAAACTTCACTTTCCAGAGTTGGACAAACCCGAATCTTTCGGATTTTTTTTTGTCTGTCCCGTATTTTATTTTTATTTACATGTAAAGCTCCCTAACTTTGTTGATACTTCTGAAAATTCAAAATTGGTACTTGTAGACTCATATTTACAAAAATACTACGTGCCCCTCTATTACGTTTTTACGCCAAGGAAATTTCTCCTCATTTCCCCTACATTTGATTTTTCAATTTCACTTCACTAACGAAACGTTTAAAATGTAATACTGCAAACTAAAAATTAGTGGTTCAAAATAGTAAAACAAAATAAAAATTATCAAATTCAAAAATTTATTGATGATTCAACATTAGGACATCTTGAATATCATTCTATTTTTCACTTTACAATAAAGTTTAGAGTAAAAAGGTTCTAACTCTATTATATTTTTTACTCTATATATAGTGTAATCTATTTATTTGTTGTTCATCACTCAATTTTTTATTCTCAAATATAGTACAACTAGAGTAGAATTCAATTCTATCATAGTGTTAATCTATTTTAAAAGAAAAATAGAGTGAAATCATTGGAGATGTCTCAGAAAATCTAAATTTTAAATTCTAAAAACAGCTAATTATATATTAATAATTATGTTTAGCATGATGTAATTAGTATTGCCATACATGGATTTTCAAAAATTAATTCATAAAAATGGTAGCAAAGTTATTGTATACGAATCTTAACAAAAATAAATAAAATTTTAATATTTATCGTAGTTTGTTATGAAATATATATGACTGTTACTAAAAACAAAATTGTAGAGAACACAAGACTTTTCATCAATCCAAATAGCGGCTGGGTCATATATACACCGTTGAATAACTTTGGGGTAAACATGAAATAGCATAAAAAGGACTGAAAATGTTGGGCCCAAAAGAGAGCAACCAAACAAACCAAAGACGCCGTCCCATTGTCCAATGTCGCTTCTTAAAGGGAAAACAAACCATCAACAAAATGATAACACGGACCAAGAAACATGAGGATTGTGGACCAAAGAAAATCTCAATTAACATAATAAGAAATGCTTTTTGTAATTAGAATGTATTGTTTCCAATTTTAGAATGCATTCGAGAATTTGTATATGCAATTTAATCATATGAAACAAAAGACGAGATTTTGAATATATTATAAGCTAAAAGCCTAAAAGTGAAAATCAGATAAATAATAAAAGAATATGTGTCTATACAATAAACATAACCACGAAAATTGGTGGGCAAGTTAAAAAAAGAAAGAAACGGGCCGAGCAAATCATCAGCCCACATGGCCCGATGTTGCGGCGTCAGAAACCAATTGAAGAAGATCAAGAAGGCGAAACGCCAAAACAGAGGAAGAAACGGGAACGCTGATCAAGACGAGAAGCAGCGTTGCGATTGCGACGCTGGGACGAGAATTCATGAGGAAACTCTGTAGAAGACCAACGGAACCGCAGATCACAGAGTCGTAGTTGCTGTAGAAACGCTTCTCCCAATCCATCCAGTCAGAAGGAGGCTCGTAGTTTCGCTCAACCATCTTCATCTCGTGGATACGCTTCCTCAGAACGATCATGTTCTCGTCCACCAGTCTCCCTCCTCCGTAGTAATGGTCCTTCCCTGAAGACGCTGTTGCAGAAACGCTCATCTTCTTCTTCTTCTGTGTCCTAAACGTCGTCGATTTATTTGAGGAAAACACCAGTGGATGGAACCGGAGTGGTGAAATCAAAGCCGGCGAAGAGATCAGTGTAGCTTCCATTGTTTTTGAGAGATAGGATTTGTAAGTTTTAGGTCGTTGTTGGTTGGAGAAGATGAGGGACAAGTGGAAATGTATTTATAAGCTAATTATTATTTGGATAAAATAAAGACAGAAGTGGGGCCTGTATGATTACGGATTAACGCGTTGCCACTTGCCAATCTTCCACGTCATTTTCATTACCACCTCTGTTAAGATTCGGTGATTATGTTTTAAACCTTCTTTAACACGTCTTTTACTATTCATCAATCACTGTCAAACAACTAATGTTACATATAAACATACCTTCGGGTTTAAATTCTTCTAAAATTTAGTTTGATGACGTTGACCTATATACACGTTTGACCTATGTTTTGTTTGTGAGATAAGGATATATAGACACTTGAAATTTTAGCTCAAATATGTAATCAGCTGATGATATAGTCGTATCAAATTAGTAAGATATATGTTATGCTACTAAAGAAAGTTGATGAATGTATTGACGAGATGTACAATTGGTGCATTGTGAAAGTTCTTACGGTACGCTAACTTGTTGGCTTGCTGATTTGGGAAACGCGGCATTTGGAAAATGAAGTGAAATTCAGAAGCCTCCATTAGTGCACATGATGTGACAATGCATATAGTAGTTTCTCTATTCTATAACCAACCATTAAAAACTTGCAAAATAGTATATGATATTCAATTGTAGAAGTCCCCTTAGAGCACCCCCATTGAGAGTTCAAATGGGGGGTTCACACGGAAACCAAAAAAATAAAATAATAAAATAACAAAAACCTATGAACTCCTCTCCCCTAAAGTTTTCTCGGGTGAACCCCTCTCTCCTGAGGTTCAACACGTGTCAACTCGGGATTGGTCTAGGTTTTTTTTTTCTTTTTAAAAAAAAAAAAAAATCAAAAAGAAAACAGAAAATTTTTAATAATAAAAAAATAATTCAATGAACCCCAAGAGGGGGTTCATTGATGTGGATGATCTTAGTCCAGTGGTTTGACTAAGAGTTCATTAATGCTTCTATACCAGTAGGTATGGGGTTCGAATCTCAGAGAAGACGGAATTATGCGAATTAATGGAGAAAGACTTACAAGAGATCTGCAGCATGGCACAAGGAGTACCATCATGCATAGATCCGATAGCGTGACTCAGGTGATGCAGTCAGGCGTACGTAAATCCTCATAAGATAGGTATAGAATTGTCGGCTGTTGAATCGTCTGTAACATTTCTCGTAGTTTGTAATGACATAATTATCCAGTGTTAAAAAAAAAAGTATATGACATCCAATTATTTATAATAGAGTTGACCTCCCATTTGTTTATGTCCTTGCACCGGAAAAACCGTAAAAGTCGGTGACCCTTTTTAATTATGCGCTTACTATCATATTTTAATTATCGTTTAATGGTTGAACAAAAAAAAAATCATCGTTTAATGATAGAACAAATTAATTTGAGATTGGAGTGTTCATATCAATGCATATGTCATAAACTGTCCAAAACTCACCATCAAATAATCGCGGATTACTTTACTATCCATTTTAAAATTCATAACAAAATTATACTACAATGCAGCACTTAAAACCAAGTTCATGTCTTTTTTTTTTGAAAAATAATAATATAGAACATATTTGATGTAAGTAAAAACGAAAGGCGTGATCAGCAGGCTAATAACGCAAGATACGAGGATGTTTGGACCAGACGCCACGTCTCCTCCTGACGGCTATTTGACTTTCTTCCACTGGGCGGCTCTTATATATTAGTATTATCTTCTTATTTACTTGTTTAATTAGGAAACTAATTCTGTTATTAGTATAATCTAATACTCTGATATGAAGGTTGGTTGAATCTGAATCTTCAGACGTCGATCCTGACGTGAGTTTTGCAGTTTTCAGGGAATGTTCAATGTTCCCAAAATATACACACAAATGTTATTTTTTTCGTCATAATGTATTTGAAAGTCACTGCAAGAGACCTTTTCTTCACCTAAATCTTTTATAAATTATGTTATTAGAGTCAAAACTTGTTATTTGTTTTTTTTTATTTGAGAATAAAAACAAGAGACGGCACAAGTGGCTACGTCAAAGAGTTGAACAAGTCTCATTAAACTAAGATGGGTTCTTACATTGGGTTTTAAGGCATGGAGATAAGAGGATCACTCTTTTTATTCAAATCTGAAACCCTCTAAGAGCAACTCAACTCCCTTTAATCTTTTTCACTTGCTACCTGCTGGAGAATGGAGATGAATCATGACAAAGCTGAATTTATTAACTACAAAAAAAAGTTATCACAAATGTGTGTATGTATGTATTGATCTTTCTTTCACCTTTTAGTTAAACGTGTTGTGTTTCAGTATTCTCTTGTTTTAGCCATGAAAATGGCCCAACAAAAGGCGCTTATTATTAGTACAATTTTACAAACCTTCAAGGACAAAGGGACGGATCTCGCCAAACTCCTCCTCCGATGATGTTTGACTTTGATCGTCAAGTGGCTGCTTCAGATCATCTTCAGGCTCCTCCTTTTGATCAACAAACTCTGCTTCGTCCAGAGGTTCCAACTGCACTCCTGGAGTCTCGGTATCTCCGTTTTCAAGAGGAAGCTCAAGCTTTTGATACTTTGGCTTGTTCTTCTCAAGGAGAATGTACGTGGTGCAATACCAAAACATCAGAATCCGGATTTGAGCTGCTATCGTCTCCCTTATCCTGCTTCCTTTAAACGACAGACGTTCTAGCGCCTGCAAAACATGCCTGAAACATTTAACATCCGATGACCTTAAAGATAGGGACGATGGGGGTTGATATAAGCCTTTTGTTACCTGCTCTCCTGTTTGGACGTCAAATGTGTTCTGATGATCAAACTCAAGGCCGGTAAATTCGTTGATGCAGAGTCCCTGGAAGGCCCTGAAAAATATACGAGTGGAATGTAAAGACAGGAGATCTCATTCATTGTGTATGGTAATTTGGGGTTGAGGTGGTTCACCATCTGATCAATGAAGCACGAGGAATCCAACGAAAGATAATTGGGGTGTTGTCTGCATTGACATAGTAACCTCCAAACACGATGAAAACTGTCATGAGAGATGGTCCTACAGCCATTGCTGCTTCCGTGTTTGGGACCATTGCCCCAACAGTTAGTCCCATTGCGGAGGCAGCAAAAGACTCTACAGTCATTATCCCACAGAACTTTCCAAATCTGGCAAGAAATAGGGACATTGCTGTCATGTGCTTTTCTCACTTGGAATCAGCGGCTTATAAGAGCGGTGCAGGGTAAGGTTTATGCATAACATTTGCCTCTTGGCCACCTGAATAGCAAAAGATAAAAAGATAGGTAGCTTGTGAATTACCTTGACAAAGTGGGATGTAGGCGTGCCATGGGGTATAGTACAGCACCAAACATTAAAGGAAAGGCAGCTCCAATGGGGATTTCAGCTATTGTTTTGGAGAGCAGGTAAGGTCCCAAAGCGTAGGACCCTTTGAACCGTTCTCTATCCACAATGGCACGTTCTTTAGGAAAGACACCAACTGTCTTTGTGAGAGCTGCCATTGCCGTGTTTATTGCAGCAACCTGAAGCATACATACATCATTGCTTAATATATAGAAAAGCTACTCATACAAACTTCACCGCAAATAAAGAGAGATCTATATAGCAAAAGCATAGTGTTTTACACCTGAAGCAAACCCATTCTGTCCTGGATTGACGTCTGCGACTTCCCCATTCTCCAGAAAACGGATCCAAATATCAGAGCAGATGCAACAGACATTCTTGCACGGACTTTGTTAGTTGGCCCATCTCTAGAAGCCTATGGAGTTAAGTAGAAGTCAATTAGACAAACTCCCCAAGTTAATTCAATGATTCTCCCACATGTCAATTTCTTAAATATCTTCTTTCAGTCTTAAACCGTTTTCAAGAGAAGGCATTCAAGTCCCTCATGTAATAAAAAAATTTCTTTAGATCTTGCATTAAATGGGAGACTACCTGCATCCATGCACGTTTAAGCAACAAAAAGAACTGCCTCCACCAACCATCTTTCCTCTCAACAATGGCGTTTCTGCGAGGTCTCATGCTATTCTTTGTTTCTTGTTTTACGCCGAGTGGAGTGGCATAAAGAATCGATGACGAACGCTGGGAGAAAGCATCAACAAGAGCATGCACTCTCTTCTGCGAAGAGTAGACACTATCCGAAGAGCTATAGTCAACTGATATAAGATCTGCTAAAAACTCAGCAGGATTTACGTGCTCTGGACAAAGAAACCTGTTCAAGGATCAAGAGAGCACTTGTAAGTGGTAAACCATCAAGCAGAGACATGCGATACTACATCTAGAGAAATGTTCAGAAAACCCAACCCGAAGTTTCCGAAATACGTCAGAGGTTCATTCCCTGCAGGGCCGGCATAGACCAAAGCTCCTTCTGTAAGTAACACAACATCGTCAAACTTAGCATACACCGAACCTCGAGGCTGGTGTATGGAGCAGATCACAGTGTGTCCATCCTGTGCAAGCTTTCGCAATGTCTCCATCACTTGTTCAGCCTGGAAGGCATCAAGCCCTGAAGAGACCACATTAGTATTCCACAAGCGTTAAAACCAATCCATCAACGATTACAAATAAACATAGCAGGCATTTACCAGTAGTGGGTTCATCAGCAAATATAACAGACGGACTAGCAATCAATTCACACGCAAGTGAAAGCCGCTTCTTCTCTCCACCACTGATCCCACGAACTTTTGCATCACCAACACATGAATCCGCACAGCTAACCTTTTGTACAGTCACAAAAAGATGATCAAGAAACAGCTTCCAAGATTTCAATCTACTCCAAAAATACATAGATCAATAAAACCTCACCAGACCAAGCCTGAACAAGAGGTTGTTCACATACTCATCCCTCTCCTCATCAGAAGAAATCTCCCGAAGCTGAAGCTCAGCTGCGAAAGAAAGTGTTTCCCTCACAGTCAACTGCGAGAAAAACAAATCCTCCTGTCTCACAAACGCAAGCCTGCACACACATTTCAAGAAAC